TTAAAGAATGAAAATATTTTCATATTGTAAATGTCTGTGATGAGTGATGAGTCAGCTTAGAAAAAATCAAGGTACTATATTTTGACCTGATTACCGCGGCAGTATGACGTCACGGAGTAGTGATTTAAACAAAAATCAAGAATTTTTCAGAGAATTATTATCTTTACAAATTGCAGATATGAAATTAAAGAATGAAAATATTTTCATATTGTAAATGTCTGTGATGAGTGATGAGTCAGCTTAGAAAAAATCAAGGTACTATTTTTTGACCTGATTACCGCGGCAGTAAGATTTGACAGACAGTTATTAACATTGGGTCGGCATAGCCTCCCCAAAAATCTAATTGTCGATCCGAGAGTTACATACTGCACTGGTATTAAGCATTTTGATTATCTCGATTTGATAAAATGAAAGCTGTTAACAGGCAACTTAGATAAATTGCAAACTGTATTTATAAATGTATAATTTCAAATTTGCGACATGTAGAAATGTAAACGATAGAACGTACACAATACGTTTAATGCTGTGCATCATGACGTTGAGAATGTAGCTGCATCAACTTGACACACTCAGGTTTACAACACCACACTTTCCTTTTACATTCTAACGCGATTAACATTTGTAAACGATTTTGCAACTTCCATATATGGAATTATCACGGAAATAGACGAAAATTAATAGGCGGAGCCAATTTCACGAAAGCAGAATATAAAGAGAGGTAACTCTTGCTGGTACAAAAATATTTCAAATTATATAGAAACTGTTACATCAATCTTTACTTTGAACATCTTCTGATTTTGTTAAAACGTATTCTAGTACAAGATATTCAAGTAATGCAAAATTGGTTAAGATATAATGTAAAAATGTAACAACGTATATACTGATAATGAGCATAATAATATGCAGAAACTAAAGTTGGTGAAATAACATTTGGAAATGTTTCCCATATATAATGACACACATCACTAATCATTGATATCAATACTAGGGTTTTGTGAGCCACGGCAATACTCTAAAGCATATCTTTTTTTTTTACCTTCAGCAAATAGTACTAGAATGCGATAAATGGAAGGCACTTTTGGCAACACGAATAAAGAGAACTGAACAATAAGCCTGTGCCTTCTTTCTTTAAAGGACTATGTTGGATTGTAGAAAAACTCATATTTTTGAACCACGAAACGATGCAAAGTTTACTATCGATAATTCCGTTGTATAACCAAAACTTGTGAATTTGTCCCATTTTAATGTTGAAATAAATATTCAGTGTATCCTGGCAACTCTGTTTACCTCCATTGGGAGGTATTTTGAGTCATAGGATGTGATTTAGCATTTTATTGTTAAATATATGTAAGCTGGCGTAGGTTAGGGTCTTTTCATGCATTGTGCTGAAACAATAGCACCTCTAAAATATGTGTATACATGCTGTCATTAGCTGTTACCTAGATTTGCTGTTATATGATCAAAAATAGAGAACTACTTTTATGTACAAGAAATACTACACAGAATATTTATTAAGTTTTGTAAGTGATGGCTTTCTTAGAGATAAAATAAACAAAGTATACATAAATGTGAAGAATGGGAAAATATATGGTAATAAAAATAAAAAGTTATGTACGAAAGGGTACATACAACTTTGGTTATAATTTTACTATTGTTAAAAGTTTTTTTCTTGTCAAGTCATACGCTAGAATTAAGGCTACTAATATAATAGTACTACTAGGAAAGACAACAGCCAGAATTTGGTCTGTATTAGTAATTAGTCGTATCAAAATCTCTATCAGATGTTGACTTGAAAATTTGAAAGTGGTAAGGTAGCAGCTTAACTGTAAATGTTACTCATTCCTATGCAAATTGGAATACCATCAGTAAAATTTATTTGTCGTTGAATATAGTCTTTTCAATAGTTTTCACTTCCTTGAAAAATATTTAACCTCAGACAGTATGTAACCTGGTGTTTTTTGGTTTTTTTTTAAGTTTCTTTTTCCAGGAAATGTGGTGTCTACAACGTTTTTAAAAATTATGCCTATATTCCTTTAAAGTCCGCTGATGTTGATTATAGGCAATCATGCAAGTGAATTATGTTCAGTGACTAAACACCTAAAAGGTATGATAAACGGAAACTACGCGACGGTAAATACCGAAAATGAGCGGATAAATACGTTTATTTACGATGATTTAGTGGGCGGGGAAATGGGCGGAGCTTATTTTATCTCCTATTGAAAAACGTGTAAAGCTGGATTATGCTGATCTGAATCATGATGGTTCGACAATGTAAAGCTAAGAATGTAACTTCTGTTTTGAGTATTCGAACACTTGGTATTGCTACTATCAGTTAATGTTTTGTCGTTTAACAAAATGTATTTGTTGAAATGCATGTTTACAATGTTAAATCGGCAAACTCAATCCAAGTATGCAACATTGGAGTTTACATACAAAGAAATACAATTGTATTTTTTCCATTACCAAACTGTTCAACTCAGATCAACAAGGCTGGATTTTTGGCAACGAATAGCCTCCATAAAAAATCGACGAAACCCTGATGTTATCTACGGGTCGTGAGTATTTTACATTTTACCTTCAATTTATTATATTTTTATTGTATATTTGATTCTACTTATTGTATGTTTGTATATGTTCGCAATAGCTATCGCTGAGGTTTAAACATTTCAAATAGTTCAAGCATATACAATTATGTACAACTACATGCCATGATACAGTATTGAAAAGATGTAATTTTCTCTCCTGTGAATAGGAAAAGGTATAGCATAATGAACAGTAACATGAAATATTTACATTTATAAAGAGTGAAATGAGTTATAATAGTAATAAAAGTGAATGCAACAACTGTTGTGCATCATATTGAATTGTTATTTCGAAGTGGGAGTAGGTACGGAAGAAAATATTTTGATGTGCAGTTTTAAATTCAGAATTTAATATATTTATACTCGTTTATGTTTGATTTTATTTTCTTATTGCTCATGGTTAGGAAGTTATCTAGATAGTAGGATAGTTATAGAGGCAGAACTTAGAGAGCAAGATGTGGCCATTGTCATGAAAGATATGATAGATCAGTCGTGAAGAAGGAGGTGTCTGTAATAGTTCTTTATAGAAAAGGAAAAATCACTGATGTTTCAAATATGTTTATTCTTTAGAGATTGTCGGGATTATTTTTTATCTTGGATGTAATACCTAGGATATCTTATAAATATCGTAACACAAATTCATAATGACAAACGATGAAAATAATGAGAAAAAAAACTGAAAAAAACCTGCTTAATTAAAATAGCACTTGATTAACGTTCGTAAATGCATGTGTAAAGAGTAATGTAAGAAGGAACGACTTTGTGCTAGAGATATATGCGGGTACAAGTTTGTTTCATCACTGAGGCCTCCGTTGCCGTAAATAGTGAGATTGTTACCGATGTTATTTGTTGAAGCTGTTCTGTGAGAATGGTCCTCTGGTGGGACAATTGATGACAATTAAATGACATAAATCTTCAATCGTAGAGATCACCAATAATGTTTTTAGAAAAGAGATCTTCTCTGAGGATGTTTAAATTGGTTCCAAGATATGTGTGAAAGATTTGGAACTTACGGCTACCATGGTACTAATATGAAGGCACTTTTTAAATTGAAGAATAATCAATTGAGTTTGTTCTTGAATATGTTAATGCTAACTGCATTTCACAGGTATTTGGTTCTAGTCACTTTTTGTATAATGAAAAAAAGATTTTGAAAATAATCGAGTGTTACAATGTGTTTTCTGGTATTGGGATCATTTCTTGGATTATAAGGAATAACATCATCCAAAGATTCGGGGACTAAAAGCAATAGATATGATGGCACCAGGAAGTTCGTCATTTTAAAACAGTATTAATTTATGTTTAAGACTTCTAGATTTGAGAGTTTCAAGACCATTTTCTTTGTAAAGGTTTGAAAGTGAGACTAATTTAATTGCTCCAGACGAGCTGTTTCCACCTGGATCTGTTCCAATTCATGATCCTTTAAAATTTTATGTCAAAATATCCTATACGACGTCTGCATACGTTAAGACTGACCTAATAGAAGTTCTTTCTAGGGACTTTCCGTCTAACATAAATTTTAATTACCGAACTTTGTGTTTGGTATTCGTAATGTGTTTACACCAGGAACCGTTTTTAAATAGAGTAACTCCAAGATGTTTATGGGATTCTACTTCAGAAATTTGAATATCATTCATGAAAAGAGGTGGATGATTATGTGGTTGATGCTTCTTAGATATAAGAATTGATTCGGTTTGCTCCGATTGAACTTGACGAGCCAAGGTATCTGCACATTTGCTGATCCCGTTAAGATTTGAGTGCAAGATTTCAGCAACGAGTTTCAAGAAGAAGATAAAGAGAAGTGTCATCAGCAAACAGCCAAGTGTCATCAGCAAACAGCCTATGATTGATTTATGTCCTAGAAAATGTCATTGATATAACGTTAAGAGGTCCAATATTAAGCCTCGGGGAACACCAGCGTTGATATTAAATAAGTTTGAAATAGATCCGGATAGAACAACTCGTTGTTGTCGATCAGATAAATAGTCTTTGAACCATCAAGACGATTACCAGATATTCCTGTCAAAGACAATTTATGTAATAGACCTTTGTGTCAGACTTGATCTGATGCTTTACTTTTTTGCTTTAATCAAGAGCTTGGCAGAAAGTATGATAAAATGAGGTAAGTTGAGGTACAGTAGAATATTTGGCGAAAAATCCAGACTGGAGGGAAGAGATTGTCATCAAGAAAGAAATCTAAAACATGCTTGTGAGCAATTTTTCCATCACTTTAAGGATACTTAGAAGCTTACTCTTTCATTTGAAATATTTTGAAGATCTCCCTTTTTTAAACACAGAAAATACATAGGCTAATTACCACTGTGAAGAAACTTTTCCAGACCCTTTATAAAGACTGAAAAGGCAGCGGAGTGGCTCAGCAAGTTCTAGTTAACGTTCTTTTAGGGTTTTATTATTATGATGTTCGGACCTACCGCTATCCCTACCTTTAATGATTCAAGTAGTGAGGCGTATTCTTATGGTGTTGTATGTATGTAATGTGTTTAACGTTGTTTCTTGAAATTCCTTGATGTTGTCAGCAAATTCAGTTTGTGAATGAAAATATATAAAGGCATTGGCTTTGTCATTGTTTGTTGTGTATGTTTTGTCATTGTTAGTGTCACAGTTAGTGGTGCAGTTGGTATGTTGCTGTTTTGTGTACATTTATATTTGGTTGGATAAATAGTTCCAATATTTTCCATTGATCAAATGATGTCTGGTTGTTATACATTAACCTTTCAGCAATTTTTCTTGCGTGATTGGTGCGTGCATTTCTTATTAGTTGTGTAGTCTTATTTCTTAACTGCTTATAAATAGCCCGGTGATGTGCATTGTTTTGCATATGAATTTTATCGTATGCTCTTTTGCGCTTTCTGATCTTTTTTTTTTATAATTTGATTGTACATCCATTGTGAACCTGTTTTTCTGACTATATGTGTTTTGTTATGAATTGTTTCTTGAGTAAATTTATGAAATTGTGATGTAATATTAAGTGCTTTTTCGTTGATATCGTTATGTTGTAGAGTGTACCAGTCGAAAGTTGATACACTTTGCCTTAGATTAACATTATCACCCCTTTTGGTATAACACACTACAATGTTGGAGTAATACCTCTAAAATAATGTTCTTTTAAATCTAATTTGAAAATACCACTTTAAAGTACTCTTCATATGTACTTATCTTACTTGCATGTCTCTCTTACATTACAGGTAAACCGTAAAGAGTACAACAGCCAGTGGCAAATGGCGAATTTCTTTGACAATTTAAGGTCAACAATGAGGGGCATGTCACCATCAAAGGTTGCAGAATGCTACACGAAATGGACGGAAAATGGGCAGTATGACAAGGTAGATCTGGTGTTAATGAATTAAGACAATAAATAGATTTTTAAAGTTAATATTTGTAACCATTTATATAATTTTGATACATCTTAAAATATTATTTTCGTTTATGATTCATCATCACTTAATCTTCATATTACAAGACAAGTGTTTATATGTTATTTACGTACAAAAAAAAGTGTATACATACACGTTAAGAAAGATTGACAATTTTCTTTTGTCAACGATTTTATTTTTGTTGGGATTTTACGTGGCATCAACATTGTTAAGGTCATTTTTTGATGAAGGAAGGCACCATGTGTCCCTTTGTGCATAATTTCAGGCACGACAGTAGAAGCACTGATCTTAAGCTGGCTGGAAAACGTCTTCACATACAGTAATCTAAACTCTTGTTGGAATTCGAACTAAATGAGTTAGATTGATGCCTTTATTGAACCAGTTTTGATAGAGCCCTACTCTGACCTTTCATTTAATACCCGTAAACGCAAACATTTGCATGTGCTCTAATCATAAGAGTTGTGGTGAAATTGTGATTGGGTAGGCTCAATAGTCGACAAAATGCTGTAACAAATTGTTTAAGTCAAAATGTTTTCAAACTATTTTTATAGTAATTTCGTTAATAATTCTGAAAACTTCTGAAAGAAATCAAAACCATATAACTTCACTGCCAACACTATGTCCAGTACTTATAACAATTCACAACATAAAACAACTAGCCTAATAGTTATACATTGTAATTTGTTTAGTTTGTAGAACTTCTTTTTCTTATATTTTAATATTCTTCTAAAATGATAATTTTATAATATTGTACTCATTTTTCTATCGGTATTTGATAATCCAGGACATGGAAGCACGCAATTTTTCTGCACCATCAATCATAGCTGACGAAGTGGCCAAATGTTTCCCGGTGACTAGAGATAAAATTAAGATAATGGACATTGCCTGTGGAACCGGTCTTGTTGGAGAAAAGGTAAATTCCTCCTTCAATTTCATTCAAAAGAACACATTTACATTTTAGTTTTTTTTCTATTTCCTAGGTCAAACTAAATGCTTAATAAAGCTACATACACCCCTGGCCCGCGTCATGTACTAAACATATAGGAATGGTAATAACTTTTCAACACTCGGCTATAAGTATCAAATGATTAGATCTATAGCTAGTTAGTCAGGCTGTAGTATATATATGTGGACTGTAAGGGATACTATGCAAATATTATAACCTTTTGAATAAAGTTGTTCATCGCGGTATACAAAGCTTATAAATGAATCATATCCTAAAATGAAACGTTGACTGCTCACTCACACATTCTGTAATACAAATATTTAGTTAATCATTCTAAGATATGTTACCGTAGTTGATAAAAGTATCTTCTGATGAACCTAAATTGCAAAACACAGTTATAAATTATATGTATAATAATTCAGAACATTTTTTACTTTACTTTCTATGACTCTCATCCTTCATTGTCTTTCCTCTCTATAATAGAAGTATTAATACAGTGAAACCTTGATCGCAAAATAACAACATTACATTGGTTATTGAAATTACTTTTGCAATATCTTAAGACATATTGACATAAAAAAGTTTACACGTTAAATTTGCTTCCATAAAAGGAAGAAAACGGTTTCAATTTTTGATGTTTTAGAGTAAATCAAGACTTTTGTAGTTGGAAACAAACAAATGCCCACCCTCCAAGCTTGGTTCCAGAAAAGAATACGACCTTTGACTTCCAATGAATGCATGGTTATGAAAAGTAGAGTATAAGACAATTGAAGAAGCATTAATAAACATTTTCAGTGTAAGAAGCATCCTTGAAATAATTAACATAGATATTGCCAGCTAAAATCAATAATGAACTATGTTTGACATCTAAGTATAATACAGTGAATTTCTTGCATATTAGACGGGGTAAAGAAATAAAGGAGCTACACCCCCCCCCCCCCCGTGTAAGGCTTCAGAAAGAAATATTTTTCACACGCCTTTTTATGCCATATTTAAGCCCCCCTTTTAGGGTAACGCTATCATTGATTTTTGGATGAAACAACCCCCAAGACCTGGACCTTTAAAGCAGAAAATCTGATTATTGCTCGCAACGTGTTTACATTTCTGGCCATTTTTTTCACGAAAAATTCATATTATTACAGTGGGCGTACAAATGGACCTTGACCATTAAACTTGAAAGCTGACTCCTTCGTGCAACACGTCGTCACGATATTCAACATATTTATTCCATCCAGGAATCATTTAGTGAGTTCTAACGGAAAAGAAATTACTTTGGATCTACAGTTATGAGATACAAATCTGAACGACAGAATTGTTGAACAGACATAACGTTAAGTCACTTTTATGCAATTTGTTTTTAAAATCAAAGTGTTTCCTTTGATCTTTGAGCTACAGACCTGACTTTCACTCATCACATTTTCTCGATGTGCTACACTTTTACCTTAAAGCTATGACATAAACGGAAGAAATTATGGACATGGCGGACAACTGTCGGATGGACGGACGTTGCAAAAGATATATGTCGCCCCCAGTTATTTGCTTGACGGAGACAAAGTTGAACGGCCACAAGAAATTTGTTATATTTTTTCATCACCCATATACCCGGAGAAGAAAAAAATTTTTTAAATTTTATGACATTTTTTCCCCCCGTTTTTGAATACAAACCGTTTTTATCCTGTTTTTCTTCCCTTTTTTCTAAACGACATTTTCTTTTTGTCATTTTTTTTGTAGCGGCAGCGTACGGCTTTACAGATATTGATGGTCTTGACCCATCTGAAGGAATGTTAAATCAGTGTAAGGAAAGGCGTCACTACAAGAATCTATATCAAGAATTCTGTGGTGACAATCAACTTTATATTGATAATGGTAAGGCTAAATGTGTGATAAAAAGCGAACAAAAATGTGTTATTCTAATTTTGATATTTCTCTCTTAACTAATGCATTATTAAAGAATTAAAAAATACAACGAAAGTGTAAGACTTCCTTTAAAACTACATGTGTAATATCTGCTTGTTTTATTTGGTTCTATGACACATGCATCTATAATACAAAACTTCTGATGAGCAAACGCAAATAATTCGAGACTCTTACACCAATAATGTTTTTGAAAGATGATTTACATTCGCGATTTGTGCCTTCATAATTGATGTGTTTTACCCTCTTACTTTTAAGAGAAACTAATGTTACCTCGTAAGTTTCTATGAATAAAATATTAATCGAATACTATTCAATTCAAACACTACAGCACATAGCAGCAGAAGTTCTTTATCTTTTCAGCTCATTTTATTTTGAATGTAAATATGACTACTAATAGTTATACAAAAATAAGAAATATTCATGAACTTTCATTCCTAGGTAAATATGACTGTTTGTTAGTGTGTGGTGGATTCGGGGAGAACCATATACCTTGTTCAGGCCTAATTGAGATGATTCGTATAGTAAAAACAGGTATTTCACTTCAGTGTTCTTATATTTTTCTGGTCCTTAGGGATCATTGATTCCACACTTAAGTGTTTAAGCTGGTACTAGGGGTCGTGCGGGATGTTGCACTTTTTCATTGATCATCCCTCATGTACACAATCAAACCGAGTCTGCATTTTTCATGTAATTTTGTTATAGTAAATGCTTCCAAGGAATCATACTTTTTCAGAATTTTATAAAGAATGAAAGGTTTGATGTGTTTTACGTTATTCAGATATTTTTTTTCAGTTTTGAAATCTTAGTCTCCATTCATGTATTTTTGATCGACATTAAATTTTACACATTTGAATTTGTACGAAAATACAACAGGAAATAAAGTTACCTTGACTGACATATTTTAAGCTTCTTAGAAAAACTCACGCTCAGTTTTTAGTGCAATTGATAGAACGTGTTCTATTTATTAAATTAGCATTATTCGTATCGGTTCTGATCAGATCAAACTACATACAAGCAGATTAGGAACAGAGGAAATCAGATTTGGTACCGATGTAACGTTGTCCCCATAGAATTATTTTGTATAGAATAAGGACCCCTTTCTATAAAATATCGACACCCTTTATAAAATAATGACCCCCTATTGTAACATACTCTCTATTAATTCATGTCACAGTCGTGTTTCTTTTGCTTAAATGTGTGGTTGTTGTTAGTTTGCTGCTGCTGCTGCTTCTGCTGTTGCTGCTGTTGCTACTACTGCTGCTTGTACAATAGTTTTCATTTAAATTTCATTTTTAATCTTAAAGATAATTACTATAAAAGATATGACGTTTTAAGGTTACTATAGAAAATTTTTGGATTTGTTGACAAACAGTATATTGTCATCTTTTATTAGTCATATGGAATGATTTATGTCATGTCCATGATAAAAATTGAAATTGCCCCGGTTACTTGTCCAATCAAATAGGCCACACCAGGTCCCGAGTAAAATGTAATAAACCAATTATAACGTTCATGTGTATCATGAGAAAACTTGAATATAATTCATGGTAATCACTTGCAATTACCGTTTTTAAACTCACGAGTAAACTCACGAGGTGTTGGTTCTTTTCCTTTTTTAATCGGGGTGCTCATTTGTTACAACTTGCACGGTGTATCAGATGTGGAAACGTCCTTTGCTCTAGTGCGTCTAGCTCTTGGTACTGCTGTGAAGGATTCGTCGGTGTGATAGAGTTTGTTGTCAATAGTACAATCATCATTATACCGTTACACACGAATATCAGTTACTTTGTTATTATCAGGCCAGATTGTGAAATAACTCGTTTGGCGCAGCGGGCGAAACGGACATATTTTTTAACAAAACAGACACAACAAATGTTTCTATAATGAAAATAATTAAGATTTAAGTAATAAAACAGATTAACTGTGTGAAAAAATGAGATGTGTGAAGTTGGCGGCCTAGCGGCCTGGCGGCCTGGCGGCGTGAAGTTGGCAGCCTAGCGGCCTAGCGGCCTGGCGGCGTGAAGTTGGCGGCCTAGCGGCCTGGCGGCCCAGCGGCGTGAAGTTGGCGGCCCAGCGGCCTGGCGGCCTAGCGGCGTGAAGTTGGCGGCCTAGCGGCCTGGCGGCCTAGCGGCCAAAAATTTTAATGTTGTAAAAAAATGTTTTTTTAACAATAAAAACGGCATTTAATTGAAGTTTTAAAGATAATTATTGTTTATTTAAACGATATATCTAAAGAAAAAATCACTTCAGAAATTATTTTAATTTTGTCATTTTTGTGAAGTTGACGCCCAGCGGCCTAGCGGCCTAGCGGCCCAAAATTTTTATGTTGTAAAAATGTTTTTTTAACAATAAAACGGCATTTAATGAA